ACACAAAATCTAATTAATCCTAACTACTCTAATGTACTTTAATGGAACACTAAATTTAAAAAAATATTATGATTTTACAATGTTTACAAATTATTTAAAAAAAAAGTGGGATTTATATTATCCATAAACTATTAAGAGTTATTAAAAATATATATATCATTTTTTAAAAATTGACTAAAAATCAAAACGAGTTATATAAAAAAAAGAGTAGTACTATTTTTTGTGATATTATAAAGAAAAAATGATGTCGTAGGTCATATATATATATATAAAAAAATAGTTTTATAACTTTTTATGAGATTTGTATTTTTGCAAAATAACTTTCTTTTATACATAACATTTAAAAATTTGTTTTCTTGTATTCATTTAGCAAGTGATCATTATTTTTAATTCCTCTTAATTAAATAACACAAATTCCACTAATTTAGAGCCTAATTACATGTCTTCGCGTGAATTTTTTTAATTATTATTCGTGTCAAATTTCGATCTTCAAATACATAAATCTGACATGTCCAATTATATGAATCTCAGATATATGAGATCAAAATTAAGTGTAATTTGTTCCAGATACACTATATCTAAGTGAATTCACATGTATTTGCGTCCCAAATACATGCACCAAGTGTGATTCACATTTCTTCTGAAATACACAGACTCTCTCCCTCCTATCTAGTTCGCTTCTCTCTTCTTTTGCTCACCTCTCTCCTTGTTTATTTATATTTCATAGTGTATCTGGTAGCAAAATACATCTATATATGTGTATCTAACTTGAAATTTGATATGACACCATTAATAAATGAGATAATGTGTAATTATTTTAAACCATAGGAAGAATTTGTAAATATTATAGGAATATTTTTAGGTAATTAAGGTAGTTGTTAGGGGCTTGGCATAGGGCAATAGGACTTTCTCATGGGCCCTCAGTAATAGAAAAAAAGCCCATTTGAATTGCAAGGCCCAGCATAGCCCAAATTCTTTATAGCGGGTTGGGTGAAAATGAAACTCTTTTGTGCCATAAAATTCTTCTCTGGAACCAAATTTGGAACTTTTTGTCTGAACAAAAATGGATGCTCTCGACTCTGTTTTCGATCCCCTTAGAGATTTCGCCAAAGACAGCGTTAGGCTTGTAAAGAGGTGCCACAAGCCAGATCGCAAAGGTACTAATTACATTTCTCTTCTGATTTGTGTATTCAATCCATAGATTTGTATATGTTCTTCAATTTAATCGAACGTTTTTCTGCAGAATTCACCAAAGTTGCTACTCGTACTGCAATCGGCTTCGTTGTGATGGGATTTGTAGGATTTTTCGTCAAATTGATCTTCATTCCTATCAACAACATCATCGTTGGTGCTTCTTAATCGGTAATTCCTGCTCTCTTATGTGGATATCGCTAGATCTGGTTGACCAGTTTCAGGTTTTGGTGTTAATGTCATGCCATAGGCTTCTTTGACGGTATTTCGTTTATGCATGTATATGCACAAATCAATTGGTGTCAAATAGTTTTTTTATATTTTGAAACGAAAATGATCAAGTTGCTGATAAGAGCCTAGTTGATCTGTATTATTTATGATTTGGAGTTAGCTTTACAAGTGAATACAGGTGTTTATTCGCATAAAAGAAGGATTTTTGTTGGTTGGGAAGAACAAGAGGCAGTTTTCTTTATGCATAATTCCAGTACATATTTTTCTATCGTGGGAATTTCATCATGAATACACAAAATATGTCCAGCTGTCTTTTGGTTTTCAAGGCGTCTGTAAATCTAGTGCTATGTGTAAGTATGTTAAATTTGACCATGTGAAGTGTGGTACATGATGATCATTGTTCCTATTTAACCAAGTGATGCATTTTTTTGTGTGGATTGTTCCTCGTATTGGCAGCTTAACCTTCATTTCAAATTTTCAATAGTATCATGAGCTCTGTTAGACATTCTCTTTTAATGAAGTGATGCATTTTTTTGTGTGGATTGCTCCTCGTATTGGCAGCTTAACCTTCGTTTCAATATTATCATGAGCTCTGTTAGACAGTCTCTTAATTATTTAGATGCTACTGGAAATATTGTTTAATTATAATTAGGACAGAAGAGAATGAAGAAACAAAAGACATGATTTTCTGGAAGTGTTAGTAAGTGTTGAGCATAATTTGGTTGAAACTTGCAAAGAAGAGTTTTTGAAGTTGAAGTTATGTTTGAATATGTATTTCACTTGAAAAAAATTAAGTTTTGTGAGTGGGAAAGAGAAGCTCACGGAAAAACTGGTCCCAAATTTTCAGACTTGAAAAACTTATCATCAAAAACTAACCAAAATATTATTATGGTGTAACAAAGTTAAACAATGTTTCAAAATTATTTTCCAAAAAGTGAGGAATTTTTAAGTTACCAAGTTCAAAAAAAAAGTAAGGAATTTTTAAATATCCAAACAGCCCCTTAATAGGCATTTTAGTTTACTAGTTCCTTTTGTGAAAAGGTCTCATTCTATTACCTAAAATTGATCCCATGCTTTTCTTGGGATTGTAGAAAGTATGATAACCTTCGTTGGTAAACATACTTCATCCTTTCTCTTTATGGATCCCAATTCCATACTGACCTCGGACCGTCAAAAGAATTTCAATGGATAGAGAACTCCTTTTCCTTTTCTCCCTTCCCTACTTTCACAAAAGCCACCAATCTGTATTCATTTATTAAATTGTATGTAGAAAGATGCCATCAGGATGGGAAGATATCCTTAAGTTATGAATCAGTCCATGACATGTAAAAAAAGTCGTGCACCCGTCCAACCTCTATTAATCATTTGATTGAATTTTCAAAAGTAAAAACTGAAATTTTTCTAAGAGTAATATGAAAGAAACACAATAAGCAAATTTTGATGACGGTGTGTCAGGGCCAAGTTGCAGGCACCTTGAATCCACCAAGGCTCACATAGGAAGAAATAACATACCATTATTGTCCGTGCTTGGATTTGAACCTTAGTAACACATGGTCCATCCTAGCTTTCTGATCGCTATGCCACCCCCAATCCCCATTGTGTGCAACAAACTGAATTGTGCAAATTTATAGCAGTGTCTTGGCAACATATCATCGAACTTGCTCTCCGAGTATTGGCATGTTTGTCCCAACATGGAAAGAAATGGCAATACTCAACTTCGTCTAGGTTTCTTCTTATTTTTTTGAGAAAGTAGGTTTCTTCTTATTTGATACCTATCTTTTGTTTTTTCCTTTCAGCATTCCAATCCTGTTGTGGCTTTGGATGTTTTACTCCATGGATTGTTAAATGCCTTTATGACTCCATGGCAGTGAATTATCTGGAGATACTGCTTTAATCCCCGTTCTTCTTCAGAATGTATATTGTGGTGCTTTGCAACAAGACAACTGAAACTCTTTTGTGAAACTGCAGGTCGTGTGAAGGAGAAACTAAATGGAGATATAGAAGGAAGTAATGACGACAGTCCTCACAATTTAGTTTAAATTTGTAACCTCTGGCTGTTGGATATTTCTGACATGTTATTCAGTACCTCTTATTGGTCTGAGTTAATACTGTAGCATTCAAATTGCCTTTATCACCTTCTCCCTGCACCCTCATATTGGAATTTTGTACACTTGTTTCCAGATCAAAGTATTTATCTCTTAGTTTTACTTTTCTGGTGCCCTTGATACAGAGGTAAATGTTTCTATGATTATTTTTCTTCATGAAAGATGCTTTATCATGAAAAGTACAATTAAGAAAGAAGAACGAGAGTATTGATTTGGCAGATAATGTGGCTTGTATTATGCGAGGCCTTTGTCATCCTTAGTTTTATTTCAATACATCTGATTTTGAGTCTGATGTGAAGTCTTGCTCCGTTACATCTGATGAATTTGTTTCGTTGTTTGTGATTATGTTTCAACTTGCTCATACTTCCTTTGTGAGTAGATTCTCCTTCTTCTAACCCCTCTTTTTATTTTGTTCTTCTTCCTTGCTCACCTTGTATGATTTTCTTTCTTCATGAAAGCATAAGGAGAGGTAGAATTCAATTCCATTTTTCGTGAGTATATCTGCATTAGGAAAAATATGTACACTTTGGGGCAAATGCGTATAGACGTTGTGAATCTTGAATACTTAAACACTAGAATCTAAATGCATGAACTTCCTCCATTAGTATTATTAAAACTGCAAGCACCGCTTATAAAACCCACGCTTAACTTGCTTAGTAATAATTAACATACTTCATTACGGGAGAGACTCATACAAATATCTTATATGAATGCACGGAGTTGCTCGACAGGATGGGTATCCCCACTAACCAAGCATGAGCTACCAGAGAAAAAAAAGGTGACAAACAACTAGCTAGCCAAAGAAGGTCAAAGCTGAAATTGGACTAACTTTTTTATAGAATGGATAAGTCCCCCTCTATTTGTTTGGAAGTAGAAACCATTTTCACAAAGCATAATAAACCTTTATGTAATTCGATTTATAAATTATTATGTGGCATCTTGTGCAAGCAACAATGCAACCATCTCTGTTTCTAATGATACAGAATTAGCTCTTTTAACAACTTAAAAAACAAAAAAAAAACTTGCTTACCTTTGACAAGAATATCAAAATGCCTGAAAAATGTTTTTCTAAAAAGTAGTCTTGAAAACAAGTGAATTTTTTATTTATTTTTTAGTGTTTGATAAATAAGTAAAAAATATTGAGCTTATTTGAATCAACTGAATTTAACAAGTTTGTAAGCTCCAAGTGCTTAAAAGTATTCTTTAAATGCTGGAGTTTAATTTATATTGAATAAAAATAATAATTTATGATTAAAAAAAAGTTAACAAATTAATCAAACCAAAACAACTGTTGAGCCGAAAACAGTGATAAAAAACTTTAAATTTTACCAAACACTCCAACAAGTTCAAAAATAAGCCCAACCAAACAGGCTACTCTTGAGTGCCCACTAGACTTACTTATTATCATCCCATAGCCAATAAGCCTTGGTGGCTCCATCATACCACTATAGCACGGAGCAACAGTCAAAATACTGAAGGGCAGAAAGATAACTGATTAAAGTAGCACAACACAATTGTTATGCAAGGTCAAGTTTATCATAACACTGAAAACCAGAACTTCATAAGCATTCTGATAAACTACACAAGAGTTTTTTACTTACAAAACGACTAAAGGATTCAAGTCATTACAGTTAATCCAGTATCCGTGGACAATAGTAATAAGGTGCATTCACATTTGAGAGGACCTGTAGCATTGGTAACTAATAGCTTCCGTTCTGCTACTACGCATGTGGATCAACATCATACATGGATTTTAACTGCAGCAAGATCAAATAGAAAAAATATTAAAAACCATTAATAATTGAACCATATGAATGAGAAATCAGTGTTTGTATCCTCAAACAGAACCATTTTACGAAACTACATCAAACAAATACTAAAAAGATGACTTGGCTGCTTAGCCTCACAAGTACAACATCAACAAACTACAGCCTATAAACAGATAACTTTGGAGTAAGAAAAACAATTTAGAGACTAAATATTTGACATTAGCAATCATAGGTCATCTAAGAACAAAGATACCAACATCATACCAAACAAATCAATACATGCCAAAAATGAGTGAAATAACATGAATACACATGGATTGCTGAATACAAATATCTCATTAATTATGAGACCATCTAAACCAAAATAAAATAAAATAAAGAAGGATGGAATCAATAGGGCAATGGATAAAGGTGGTAACAATGAGAAGTTCAGCATCAAAGAAAGAAAGCACAATCCTTTGGCAACATTTCTAAATTCCGTAGCCCATAAATCATGGACTTCTAATGAGAATAAAGCCAGCAGAATTACATCATAAACTGCCTAAGCTGAGTTAGAAAGGAAAAAAAGTAACTAGTGTCAGCTTCTGAATAGTCCAATCCTACATTCCTATCTATCTCTGAAAAGTACCACATCGCAAGCGAGGTAAGTACATCTCTATTGAAGGATAGTTCCTGGTAAACACAACAGAGAGTTCCCACCATAATTCTTTAAGATATTTTTGCACATTAACTTTAAATCTGACTTTTTTAGTTTCACTTACTGGTAGTTTACCTTAAATTCAGTCCCAAACTGTTTGCATCAGGGGGTGTTGTTCTCTTTGAATAACACTTATCAGAAAACCATGTTCTATACAAATTCAATAAATACAGTACCACCGCTAGATGATCCGCTAGTTGAACCAATGTGAACTTTCTATTAACATGCAAGGAATTCAAATAGAAGGTAGTTCATGTGAGGCATGGAAACAATGAACTGCTATTAATTATTTAATTAAGTGGGAATGGTATACTGCTGTTAGGTCCACACTTCACAGGTTATAGGCAGTTGAAATTCAACTTTGTTTAAACATGGAGCAAATTAAGTCTTTCTTTTTATTTCGATAATATTTCATCCTGTGCTTTGTTCTTCATCCTTTACAACCATGATAAGTACAAGACATTTTCCCTCCTTTTCCAGTTCCTTATAGTTTTTCCCTCCTTCCTCTTCATTCAAATAGATTAACCTATAAAGAGAATAGGGGTCAAAGAGGAAAAAAAATAAAGGAGGATTTCAAGAATTTGATCTGCCAAACCATGAGAATTAGACTGACTAATATTTAATTATCTTCCGGAGGACAATGAAGTAACCCTAATTCATTTTCCAAATGAAAACAAGATTAATATAAACTATGATCATCAATTAACCATATATAATTTCAGTTGAGCAAGTGATTGAAGTAACTATTATTAAAGTTTCAATTAAAAAAAAAAAAAGAAGAAGTTTGGATGTGTTAGGTCTACGGAGAGGTAGAGGTAGACCAGGGAAGGGTGGGGAGGTGATAAGACATGACATGACACATCTTCAACTCACTGAGGACATTATCCTTGCGAGGAAAGCATGGTGGCTGAGAATTGGGGTAGAGGATTAGTAGGTAGTCGAATGACTTCTCTCTTTCTTGAGGAAGAGCATGGTTTAGCTTAGAGCACCTTGTCTGCTCCCTCTTCTACTTAACGATATCAGTATTATTATTATTTAATTACTATTTTATTCTTCAAATTGTATACTGTTGTTGATTCTTTTACTTGAGTGTTCTTTACTGTTTTCTTGTCAGTACTTTTCTTTTCTCCGGTATTTTAGCCATATCATTTACTTTTACATTTGTCAAACATGTTTTTGGAACCACTTTTCTTGAGCTGAGAGTTTATCGGAAACAACCTCTCTACCTCACACAAGGTAGGGGCAAGGTTTGCGTACATCACTCCCCCCCCCAAAAGAACCCACTTGTGGGATCACAATGGGTGTGTTGTCGTTGTGAAAAAATAAGTTTGGAACATTCAACCACACACAGTTCTAATAAAAAAAGTAAGTCCAGTTTTAGATTAGAACTGAAAACATGTTTAGTACAGAAAAAATAAACTTGGAACATTCAACCACATACTTTTCTTCTTCTACACTTGCTATAGTTTTCTCCAGAAAACAACAGAAACATGCAGTAAAGCTCTCTGTATTTTTTTTGTCTTTTTCTGCTTCACAAAACCCTCTCCTATGAAAGCTTCACACCACCATTTTCAACAAAAAAAAGTTCTCTTTCACAGTTTTAACTGCACTATAATTATTTGATTTCCCCAATTTTTGTTTGTTTCAATCAGAACCCATTGTCTCCTCTTTGATGAAAGACCCATTGAAGAAGCCATTATCACAAAGTTCATCAATCCTAGAAATACCGTCATGTTTGAAGAAAAAAATTCTCATTTCAAGATAAAGATTTCTCTTTTGTCCAAGGAATATTAATAGGCCGGTAAGATGATTTGTTCTTTGAAGGTCAACAATATACTTCCACTCACCCCCTAAAAATGAATCATACGACAGTGAATGTTTTTTCTACTCTAGCTTCATTGAGAAGCCAAAGTGGGAACCCCTACTGACACAGTTCTTGGGAAATGTATAGATGAGCTTCTACCATGAAGAGAAAGTCAATAGCGTGCTAACTGCTCATGCAAAGCGCACCATATCTGTCCTGGTTTCTCTTTTTTTGGGATTCACGCAAAGGACAAAAAGGAGAAAAGAAATGGTTATAACTAACCATATCAAACTATCTTCGATCTTCAGACTTGCTCTGGATTTTTTTTGATTAAGTAAATGATTTCATTAAAGAGCATCAGGGTGATGCTAAATGCAAAAGTATACAAGGAAAGAGAGTTAGTTCCCTTACAGGAGTACTAAGCTAGGTCAAACAGTTAACAAAATCCAAAAAACTGTCAACACTATTAACAGGAGACAAAAAATTCCAACTAAACAGATTGCTCTGGATTTACTTTCCTATAAGACATATTCTAAGCCAACGGGGTTAGCAACCAATTTAATCCCACTTTACCTACCGGTCACATGTTCAGTATGCATTAGCATAACCAATAATTACTTGGTAAGGAAAAAGCAAGAGTGTACCTTGACATGCATGTAAACTACAAAAAGGCTTTGGAAATAGAAAACATTTTCTGTTGGAATGCATCACCGATCAATAAATCAGATATCAGTAGTTTCTCAGGAAAATAGGAAACGGTTATGGATGGCATATCCCAAGCATGCATATCTAATCATTCAATTGGTAAGAAAATTGAAAGCTTATGCTTTGGCGCCATCTAAGCAGACAGTTACCATTGCAAGAAAATCTCGTACTTTCCGATGAAGAGAATCAATCACGAACTCCTTCCTCGTAGAGAGTGTCAACCAAATGTGTGAAAGCATATCAGCTTGTTGCTCTAAATTAGGCAAAATCCAGATTCCCCAAATCATTTTCTCCAAGGATGCGAAATATGAAGCAAAATTGATTGATGAAAGTCTAGAGTGTAACTTCTATCCCAATGTTGCAGCATCAATGGGATTGCAGAACAGAATTGTGCTTTACAAAGTAAAGAAAGAATGCACGAAATCATTCAAGTACTTTACTCGAATTTGGTAAAGCTCAACATGCAAGAAGGCAAACATATAAAAACCAAAATGTATGCAGATACTATCTGATATTGCAGCTTTAACAGGAATTACTAACGCCCCAACCTCAAAAATGGAAGAAAGCAATTCCACTTGACAAATTTATTTTTCTAACCCTAGCTTACCCAGATCTGAAGGAAACGGGAAAGTTACCTTTGACCATCAAGGTTACCCTGTCCATTGCTGCCTCCACCAGCATAAGAATTATCCTCAGCAGCCTGCCAAACGGACTGCCACGCCTGCGATGGTGGTGGCGGAGGCTGGACGTACATTGAAGGATCAACCCCAGGCATAGCAGGCCTTCCCATCATCACCCCAGGTGGAGCAGGCTGTCCCATTGGTGGATAATAGTACGGAACACCACTTGCTGTGGAACCCACCATGCCAGGCCCAAGACCAGCATCCTCTTCCTTGATCTCATCCCTCGGAACAATGTCAACAAGGAAATCGAAAATGTCAGTCCGCGTAATCGCCGCAGCGATGTCATTCTTCTGCAGAGTCCGTCGCTTGTTTTCCTCAGCGTGAAGCCAGGAACGAATAGTGAGTTCCAGAATGAAAAGCTCACATGCCTTGGCAAACAAAATGGGTGCTTCAGCGGAGATCATACGGACATCTTCGTCAGCTTTCATGATCTTCTTGATTCGGGCAAGGGGAAGTTGATGGTTCTTAAAATCGTTAACCTGTTCGATTTCCTGGCGTTGGTAGGTCCAAAACATCTGTAACTGCTGCTGCTGTTGCTGAAGGAGATGGTGGTAAGGTGGCTGAGTCGGATACCCAGCGGACTGAGCTGCTGCAGCTGCCGCCGCTGCATTCGCCGCCGATTGCTGAGGGCTGTTTTCCATGGCTTTTATGGACAAGGGGAAATTTTTCCTGTATATAACAGAGACAGAGAAATGTAAGAAGCCTCTCAATAAAGTAATGTAATTGCTCTCTATATATACAGGGAGAAGAAAAAAAAACTAATTACATACATTTTCTAAATACTACTATCTTTGTTTTAAAAAGAATGAACTAATTTTTTTATTAATTTATTTTTTCGTTGACATATCTAAAATTATAAAATTAAATTATATTTTAATATATTTGATATATTTTTAAAATTGTGTGTCGAATAAAATTAAATCAATCTTTTTAAAATTAATAAAATATCCCCAATTTAATCGAAGCTCCAATATGAGCTTTGAACATCGAAAAACCCAAAAAATAAAAGGTGTTGATGATTGAGGTCAGGTATAATTATGGTAGGCAAATGAGGAATGAGGGTCTATATACTCTATTAATTTAATAAAATGAAAATCTTATAAAGAGTGGAGAATGTTTATGGATAATAAATAAATATATAATCACTATTTCTATATATTTTGTTTTATTTATTTATTCTTGGAGAAAGAGGGGGTGGGGTCCACATTAAAAAGGGACCCAGTCAATTGGCTTATCCATAAGTAACACCATGCCACATGGAGAGATTCACACATGACATGTGGACTCATCTAGCTAAAGTGGGGCCACCCTCATATTATTTTTAAAAAAAAAGAGGTAGAGGGAAAAAAAATTAGGGGAGAAAATTAGAATATGGGAGAATTAAATTATTATTAATAAGGTTAAATAAAAGTGTTTCTAAATAAAATTTGTGTAATCAACTAAGTAAGAATTCCCATCATCCTTATTCAAATACCCAAAAGAAAAACGAGAAAAATTTCATCACAAGGTAGATATATCTCTAATAAAGAGTATATGATAAAAAAAAAAATCATTACGAGTTGGATTTAAATTTAAGAATTTTTTTTTCATGTGTATTCAAGTGACTAATAGGTAAAAAAAAAAGTTACCACTTAAAATATATCTTCTCATTTATTTATATGTTTTTGCCACAGAAGAATGCCGTAAAATCTCAAGTCTGTTTCAATTGAGGATGATGTGTACAATTAAATATAATGACATATTTTATGTGATTGACTACTAATAGACACTTGTAAACACACAATATTTTTTCATTTCAAAACTTAAACTAAAAATGCTATACAAATATTATATCATGCGTTTATAAGTTTAAATGAGACATTTACACATTTAGATGCTATTATCATATACAGTGGCAGAGCCATGATTTTCAATAAGTGGGTTCAAAATCTGTAGAAATAAACACACGAAATAGCTGAAGGGGATTCGACATCTACTATATATACATAAAAAATTATTTTAACCATGTATAATTAATATAATTTTCTGCCGAAGGTGGTTCGGATGAACCGCTTAGTACAAGGTGGCTCCGCCCCTGATCATATATTATAAAGAAAATTTGCTTCGAAAAAGTATTTATTCAATAACAGATCCTTTAATTTAGACTCAACGTCAATCATGTATACTTTTACCTCAGATCGTTTGTGAGGATGAAGCCCTCGAAAGCTAAGTGAAGTAGGACTTTGAACCCTCCTTTAGCTTGTTACCTTCTTTCTCCATGTAAATTAGAATAAGCCGGAGTTCGAATATCTAGATCAACTTTTTAAATAAATTTTAAAAGTTACTATATATTAAGTTAATATTTAGCTTACATTGATTAGAAAAAAGAAAATATATTTTCTATATAAATTTTCATGAATGACTAATCAAGTGGAACTTAACACTTTTAGCATGTTTAGACTTGCCAGTATGAATAACATGGTGTGACAATTGACAAACAAGATAAAAAATAAAGATATTTGTCTTATTGATCGTGTAAGAATATATTTTTAAAGAAGTTTATAATAGACATTCTTAATTATGTATTGTCATAGTATTAAATCTTTAATACTATTAAATGAGCAGCGACTTAATAAAATAATATTAATGGAAAAGACAGTGTATACTTTTATAAAGGATGGTCAAACATTCGTTTTCTTTCTTTTTTTCAAACTATATACACCTTATTTATAATATTTTAATTATTATGCATAAAATTTAGCACATTAAAATTTATTTTTTAAGATAATAAATAAAATTGATTAATATATAAATAATTAAATTTTGCATAACTCTAACTAGTTGGATCTCTTTGTCTGTTACAGACTAAAGTCACTAGTGGGTTAACACGTAGCTCATCAATGGAATGGACATCACTGAGTGGTTTCTTGAAAAGAAAATTTGATTTTATATTTATTCTTTTGACGAAAAAAATCAAATCTTAATACAATAAAGAAATATATTTTTAATTATTACTTGATGGGGAAGTCCGACCCTTTAAGTAGGGTTGTTCAAATTTGAATCAAAATCGCTAATTTGAATAGAAAAAAAGTTATTTATTTATTGATAATGGGTTATTAGTTTAATTGTTTCGTCAATGATTTTGATCTTTTTTATTATTGGATTATCAATTTTTGATTGGTTTGAAGTAACTTCTTGACATGTAGTAAATTTAATAGATTATATATATACCATTTGGTATAAAAATTTTTGGCTTAGGGTTTAGTTTCATACTTTATTTCTGGTTGTCTCAAGTTCTCAATTTTTCTACAATGTACTATTGTTTGCTTTTGAGCAAGATACAATTTACCAACTCATATGCATTGTTCATTTGGTTTGTCACCTTGTTTTTAAATAATTTTTTCGTGTCAAATTTTAATGGTTAAACCAATAACTGAATCGATAATTAACAATCAATAATCGATAAACCGATAATCGAACGATAACAATCAATAACTGATAAATCCATAATCAAATCGATAACATAACAATCAATAATCTCATGCGAATGGATGAAAAAGCTTGCAATGCCCATAAGATCATAGAAAATAATGAAGATTAATGCCAGTAAAGTGGCCAAAGAATAAAGGCATGATAAAAGCCTTTTAGGGAGTGTTTTACTCGATGAGATTTCCTTGCGTGAACTCGGATTTAGTTAGGCTCCAAATATGTAAGTATTAGACATCGGGTGATAAAAAAAAACACAATTTCATATGATGTAACAATTAAATTGTTAGATAATTATCATATTAAATACTAATTATAACAAGATATTAACTAATGAACCTAGACACACTAATATTTTTTTTTATTTCTTTTGAGATATCCAAATCTTTTTTTCCAATAATCATCCACATATTGCAAAAACTAAATGAATAGAAAAAAATATGAAGAAACTTTGGTGGGCTTTCAAGTATAATTTGGTGTGTCATAGACATTCATGAATTATATCTTGATAAAAGCAAGATTAAACTTATAGAATAATTGGTGAAGTTTAGAACTTTTATGAATCAAGAATTCTTTTATAAGCTTAGGATCTTATGTCACGCTCCAAGATTACCCCTAAACCCGATAAGGTGCTTAGAGCCACAAGCAACCCAAGCTGGCATGACACTAAAATTAACATAAATCAATAGAAAATTGAAACATAAACGCATAAGCTAAATCTAAAATATCTATATAAAGCCCATAACACTGAGATAGACTAATATATCTGAAAGAAATAACATAAGCAGAATCTATATTGATATGACTGTTTGAAAGCCTTTACTAGTATGAGTTGCTAAGACAAACCCCTAGCTAATAACTCCAATTGTCTGAAACTGAAAGTAATAACTGAAAAGAAAGATAAGGGTACTTGTCCTCGAAGTGACGAGGACTCACCAATCCTGCTGCTCGCTAATCAGAAGTACCACTAACCGCGAGTTGGATACTGAACATCAGAACCTGCATTATCAAACATGTACTTTTTGTAACCTTATAGGTGTGAATTTAAGGAAATAAGAACGTTACCTTTGATTATCATCATTGCTGCCTCCAGCAACATAGAACGGCACAACACTTGGTGTGGAGCCGCCAGTAGCATCATCATCAAGAAGGAAATCCAAAGTGTCAGTCTGCATAATCACATCAGTGACGTCATCCTTCTTCAGAGTACGTCGATGATTTTCCTCAGCTTTAAGCCAGGAACGAAGAGTGAGTTCTTGAATGAACAACTCACATGCCTTAGCCAACAAAACAGGTGATTCAGCAGCGATCATTCGGACATCCTTGTCTGTCTTCATGATCTTCTTGATGCGGTTAGGTGGAAGTAACAGGTTGCTCTTGAAATCAATAACGTTCTCCATTTCTCTCCGCTGGGATTTCCAAAACATCTCCAGCTTCTTCTCAATGTTAAGATGCGACGGCGTTGGGTACGCAGCGGATTGACCTGCCGATTTCTCAGAGTTGTTTTCCATGGTGATTTTTTCTATGTTTACAAACTCAAACACACAGAAATGAAGACTGATACATATATGCAACTGTGTGCTCTATATATATAGAGAAAATAAATAAATCTAATTAAATGAATGAACCTAGACAATTCTAAATCTACATTCAAGCTAAGACTATATATGGAAATTTGTTTAATATGTAATAATAAAATTGTAAGAAAATCATCTTATTAAATACTTACTAGTTAAATCTAGTCAATAAGGTATTAAATACTAGTTAGTTCTAGTCAATAAGGTATTAAAGAATGAAGGAAGATATTGATAAAAATAATTCTTTTTGAGTTATTCTAATAATTTTTTTCTAAAATCCTCCATATATCACAAAAATAAAATAAAATAATGAATAGAGAGAAATAAAAAGTTTGTTATAAATGGGCTTTCAGATATGTGTACAATGCGTCAAATTTGATGTCTTTTAGACTGTGAATCATACTTTGGTAAAACAAGATTAATTTTATAGAAAAAATGATGAAGTTTAGAACTTCTATGTACTACGAATTTTTAATTTTTATAAACTCAGAGTTTTATTATATATATCACATAATTATACTAACAAAATCATTGTTGTTATCGCAAATTTTGTACTAACATGTCATGTGTGTATCCTAAGATTCATGAGTGTTTTAAAATCTATTGGTACAATTGCCAGATGTATTCTGCAGAGCAATACACGACCTATACAAGATATGAATTTGATTAAACGTTTAACTTAGCCTCACTAATTTGCGGTATAACACTATATTCAGACATCATAGGAAGG